GGGGGGGGGGGGGGGGATTCACAGGTTCATCACGTAATATGTATACAAAAACTTGGGTAATTTCCAAAATCTGGAGAAAGGGGACTTTTCTGGGGACTATCTTCTGAAGATAGCCATAAAAGAAAATCGTCCCCGCAGAAGGATAGAGCGAACTATGACAAAAATGAAAATTCATTGTGTCAGAGAGGTTACACACGGTGGCCGAGACCTACACTGCCGTGTTAAGGAAGAACGCCGTATGAACATTCGAGAGTTGCCAAATTTCCTTCGATAAAATATTTCTTTTTTAGGAGAGTCATGAATATTTTTCCTTGAAATTTTCAGGACCTTTAGGTGAAGTTGTGAACAAAATTATCTGCAAAATTGGAAGGAAAATATTCAGATGTTTACCGGGAAATTCGCATTTTATCGAAAGAAATTCGGCAACGCCTAGAGGCTCATACGGCGTTCTTCCTTAGCACGGCAGTGCGGTGGGAGACTTTTTCTACCCATTTTAGGTCGCACTAAGTCCAGGACCGCGGTGACGTGAAGGGAATCGACCCCAAGGAATCCGAATTTCCTGGGCCCAGAGTCCCCTCCCGGTAATTTTGAAACCGTTTTAATAAAACCCCGTCCCCTCTAAAAAAAGAAGAAAAACACGAATAGGCAAGTATAATGAAAAGTCTTCTCTTGGTTTTCAAATTTACAGGCTCAAGAAAGAAGCAATTACCCCAATCTTCAATCATGTCACCGACAGGAACCCTCAGACCTGGGATGCGCTAACGGATATTGGTTTAAATTTGCACTACAATGATCAAGTTTCATCATCAAAGCAAGTGTGGGCCGTTACCTTTTCAACCGAGCCCAATGAATTTCTTTACAATGTGAAATTCTTCCTGTACCACGTTCTACCTCTTCCGCTGTTTGTCCTGGCCGAAAAGCTGAATGGAGGTCCCCCAAGGTTTGTGCCATCTTAACATATTCTACCGAAAAGCCATAAGATGAAGCCGTTTTGTAGTGTCTGAAAACTATCGAACTTGAGGAAAAATTGCTTCAAAATATTTATGTATATGTGCCCCTACTCCACTATTTAAAATTAATAATGTCGAAACTTCAGTTTTAAAGAAGAACGAATTATTTAAATCAAACGAAGGAAACAAGTTGACCGGCTCAGCGACTATTTAAGTGTAGAATCAGCGAAGCTTAATGGAGAGGCTTGAAGGACAAGGCGCATAAAGTGCGGTTTTTGCTATTTTGAGAAATACGTGTTTGAAGTTTCGAAATGACACGGATCCTTATGGGGGAAAGAAAGTTCAAACTGACTTTTTGATGCTTAAAAATTGGAATTTGAAAGCGTATTTTTCACAGAATATACTTTCAAACTAGTTTTACTCGTAATTGAGTTCACGAATATCTCAATTTTTTCAAGAACTTTTCCTCCAAGCCTCTCAATTGAGCTGAGTGGAGATGTATTTTCGACGGAAATCAGCACAAATTTCTCACAGGATAATCGAGCGCAGAATGATGAAGTTTGCCTAATCATGGATAATGAAAATTACATCAAGTTTGACGTCATGACTAAACAATGAGTATGGTACAGACATGTTCGTCGGATGACGGATGGGAGGCTGCAAGAAAAAATTCGCTGACCCGGTTCTTCCTGGGAGCAGACGAAGGGAACGTTCAATGAAAGGATGCAACAATTGGTTTTAAATGGAATGGGGGGGGATGCCAACTCTCTCAAGGGCTGTGGGAGGACAGGGTACTGTAGCGGTTAGATGTCGCAGAGCGCTAGAGAGCGCCATGAAAGCGACTTTTATCAGGGGCGAGGCGTGAATGATCGATTATCGATATTTTTTCCTTTGAATCTATGGTAAAGAATCGAATATTAAGGTGTTCGTTGAGAACACTCTGCTTAAATCGATCCTTTTCCATAGGTTTAAATGGCAGATCAATCGATATATCGCAAAGCACACCACGCCACTGACTTTTATGTATGTCTGCATGAATACCTATGTTGATTGCAGAATATGGAGAGTCTACACGAAAATAGCGAGTATCACGTCTTTAGCCACCGCCTTTACGATGCGGAACTGGAGGTTCTTTGACGACAACACTTTGAGAATGTGGAGCAGTATGTCCGAGAAGGATCGTCTCGAATTCCCGTTGGATGTCTCCGATATAGATTGGAAAAAGTACTTCCGATGGGGCGCCAAGGGGACTCTTACGTACATTCTCGGAGACAAGATCAGATCATATCACTCTCTCAGAGTGCGAGCGTAAGTCAAAAGCATAAAAACTAATAAATTATTAATAGAGTGGAGAATCGGAACCGAAGGAATTCTTAATGGGCCACTTGCGCTGGTCACAGATTCGTATTTTTACGTTTGATTCTTGAAGATCAGCTGAAAATAATAAGATCCGTCCGAACAGCAATTTTCAACGTTCAGTATTAACGTAGACATCACGCTTTGAATAATGCGTAACGTATAACAAGTGAGGCGCGAAACACTTCATGAGGTTTAACCGTGAGCAATCAGGGGGTGTAGTCCCCTAGTATATAAAATAGGTAATATTGGCAACTAAAATTTTTTATTGCAGTAGTGGCGAGGCGTGAATGATCGATTATCAATATCTCCCCATTTAAAGCTATGCTAAAGAATCGATTTTTAGGGTGTTCGTCGTGAATGCCCTGTTTATCGATCCTATCACATAAGTTTAAAAGGCAGATAAGTCGATATATCGCCAAGGACGCCACGATACAGATTGCAGTTTGCCCCTCTCCCCCCCCCAAAAAAAAAAAAAATATTAAAAAATGAAACATGTCCGTACCGCGTTTAATTCATTGAACTATGCGTATAGTCTGATTATTGAAATTGATAGACAAAGAAGACAAAGGGAGTAAGGAGCGATCGTGTTGGTTGAAACGGAAGGTTACGGGAGAAAATGGTAGACTAACTACAGGGTCTCTCGTGGGCTACCGTTTGTTCGTTCTTACATCCGGTATCCATCGCCATCATCCGCTTCCACCAACTGGATCCCTCCATATACATTTTGTCTGCTTTGTCTAGAGTTTTGTCTATTGATTTCAATAATCGGTCCGCTGATCAGCAAATTGGTTCCTTTTAGACTCACCATTTGGACACCTTACTATCAGAAATTTTACGGTGCTGACAAAGGTCATTTAGTTTGCTTGTAAATGTTTCCCATAATCTCAAGGTATGCACGATCATCCCGTAAGAGGAGAATGTAATACGCATGGATTCTTATGCAAATATTTGACCAGTGCACAACCAACATAGGGTGAAATAACCAGAGCACTTGGTTCAGAAACTACCAGACTGTCGATGTGAAACAACCATGCGCTAAATTTAGGAAGAATCATTATTTAATTCATTTTTCAAAATGTTCAACTTTATTCCTCCCCTTATCCGTAACTCTGTCGTGCTGAAGAAACGCGCCGTATAAACGTCTGTACGAAACCGAATTTCAATCGTTAAAACAAAATTTTCGAAGGAAATTGCGAATATTTCGCCCTGAAATTTTTGCATACTTCAGATCAAGTTGCGAAGAAATTCCCCTCAAAAATGGGAGGGTAAATATTCTCAAGTTTTCCTGAAAATTTGTCTTTTACCAAAGGAAATTTGGCAACATCTGAAGGCTCTTACGACGTTCTTCCACAGCACGGCAGAATTCTCACTCCGATTTTGAAAACTGTTCGATTATCAACTTTCAACAAAAAATTACGAAACTCATCTTTAACGTTAATACAGATTAGTTTCTCTTGTTTATATATACAATCGTGTTTCTTTTGTTTCAGGATGATAGTAATTCACAGAACTTTACAGATGTTCATAAAAGCTCTATATATGTTTCTACTGTTCAAAACTGTCATTGTAGGATGTAATCTGTTAAAAAGTATGGTACCGTCCGAAATATACAGGCTTAATAATTGAATTGCGTCATTGAATTTCACTCTTATAAATTCCCCAAATCTAGAAGACATCCTCAGGGCAGAAACGAAAAATTAACAGCAGCTGCTATTCTGTCGTGCTCGTGCTAAGGAAAAACGCCGTAAGAACATTCGAATTTCGCTGAACTTCCTCTTAGAATATATTAATTTTTGTGAAAAGTTACGAGTATTTTCCATCGAAATTTTCAGACGCTTCTGATCGAATTACGGGGAAATCTTTTTGAGAAATCAGGAGAAGAATGTTCGCAAATTTTATGAAAAAATCGTGATTGGTCAAAGGAAATTTGGCAACGTCTGAAGGTTCACGCGACTTTCTCCTTAGCATAGCAGTATTGATTGTCCTCGGTACGAATGGAACTAAGACATTTGATTTAAACTAACCTAAATTAAGTTAAATCAAGTTAGACTGATTTTGTCGATCCTGAATTAAAAAGGGAGGATAACCGTAAGGGGTCACCTGCGTTGTGATGTTGCAAAGTTTTACTCTACAAAATATTCATAGAGTAAAAAAAGGTTGAACATTTTCTTTTAAAGCTTCCTGTAGACTGTTCTTTTTTTAGGTTTAACGAAAATTTCACAAAAGTTGTTTATTAATTTAATAAAGCGCAAAAATTCCGGATGATCCTCCACAACGTTATAGTGCTTAACTAAGCCCCTCTGGTTATCATCAATGCATTTCAGCAACGAGGCGTGAATGATCGGTTATCGATATTCCCCCATTTGAAGCCATGATAAAGAATCGATCACTAAGGTGTTCGTTGTGAACATAGTGTTTATCGATCCTTTTCCATAGGTTACATTGGCAGAACAATCGATTTATTGAAAGAGTCCCACATCCTCACATTAGCCAGTCTCTAGGCCGTTTTTTCGGGCTAGTTCGATACTACAGTTAAGAAATCTCTATCTGTTGTTCCTGGTTGGAAAAATAAGAGGGTTAAAGAAACGAGAGGAAATGGATACACCAGTCTCTAAAATACATACTGAAAAAGTTAGCAGACTTAGCGGAACGAAGCGAAAAGCGCGGTTGCAACTTTGCGGCTACGAGGACATAAGCTCTGAAGTTATGTGTGTTGCGTCGTTACGAATTGAAGGAACTAAGAGAAGTCAAGCTGAGTGATTTAACAGCCAGGATTTTTGAAGGGGGAAACAACACTTATTATTACGAGATCAATAATTCTAATTAGAAGTACGGCATTATTTAAATTTGATATATTTTAAAGGTTTACCTCAATTTCTTACCATTTCTTCAAAATGGTGTAAAAGGGTGAAAACTACTCGTATGATTACTTGCCGTGTTCTTATCAAAAAGTGAAATGGTGGTGATTAGCATCCTTAGCATCTAAGAGACTTCATTCCTACCAACTTTTATTGACTTTACACCCCAGAAATGTACAAGCACATAGAGTTTTGCCTTCTATTTCTCGTCTTTTTTATCCAGGCGCATCTTCGATTACGTAGCTGCAAGGCTCCATTCACGGCTTATCTTTTTTTAGAGAGAGAGCTTACCAAGAATATTTTTCTTGATATTTTCTGTGAATTCTTTGCACTCATTCAAGCATAGCTTTGAAGGAGATACTTCGGTCAGTATTGTTTACTTAAAAACAATTGAACATGGTCGGAGATTTTCTTGATCTCAGTTTTTAAGGAGAGGAGTTTTTTTCCCCCAAAAGGTACACTATTCTTATGAATCAATCATTCTAGCTAAAAAGAAAAAAGCTTTATAGATTAGCCAGTGAAGTTAAAATCCCTTCTCCTCGTCGCCGAGTGTTGTGGCACCACAAAGATGCTAAATTTAATGAAATTTTTGAATGAAATTTCATGAAGAAAGTTTTATATGAAATTTCATGAAGAAATTTTTGATATGAAATTTCATGAAGAAATTTTTGATATGAATTTTCATGATGAAACTTTTGATGTATTTCATGATGAAATTTTATATATAATATTTTTGATGTGAAATTTCATGATGAAGTTTCGTAAAGTTTCATAAAAAAGGAAAAAATTTAAAATTGCTGCAACGGGCTCAGTTTACCTATCATAAAACGTATGTCATCTGTAAAATCTTGAGTTTGAATATAGGCAACAAATGAAATCATCAGTCAAATTTCGAAATCCCTTGATGAATTCTCGGATAAAAATTGGTGCGGACTGCAAACGCAGCCGAAAAATTGATTAAATTTGATTTTGCACGAACCGTATGTGAGTATGTAGTTCGACGTCCGCTGTGGCGCGCTGCGAACGCACCTTGAAAATCTTGCCTCCACACTTCGCCGCATGGCCGCTCGTTCCGCCAGTGCGCTAGTGGAGCTCTCCGTGCCGGCAGGCCGCGTCTTCCCTTGTTGATGTTGATAACTTGATGTAAACAAACGAAGTGCACCTTGTTTTCCAAGTCGGAATTCTAATATTTTATGCAATAATTACACGTGTAATAACTTGCCAAACTCTCCGGTTACAGACCATCTATTTTCTGTGATTCCTCCACCGTTGGAGCCGCAACCATCACTTCATTTGCCTAGTTTTATCGTTGATAGTCAGTGCGTCGTGTGCGGCCCTAGGCATTTATCACCTATAAGTCGGAAATAAGTAATTATTTCCAAAAATCTTGGTTCTTCTTTGTGCTTTTGCTCTTAAAACTCCCCTCTCGAATTCAATATCAATCGGTGGTTTTTCACCAGAAAATATTCCCTTAAAAGGCGTCCTTTGTTGTTGTATAAACTAACCTATAATCTCGAGTTTTTTGTTTCAATCTCGTCGAAATTCATTAAAGTGTCCCGTCGTTTGACAGTGAATGTGGTATAGAGCATTGCGTCTCACCTTCTCTCCTTAATTTTTCCTCTCTCTTCTGAAGTATGCTGATATTCTATGGAGCTGCGTTTTAATTGTCATTCTGGATTATATCAGGTAGGTACCGACATTTTATAACTACCCATTTCTTAATTTAATTGGTTTATGTAAAGCTAAATATCGAGCTCCTTCAATCACCACCAGCAAATTAACCAAGTTCCAGTTTATACTGGCAGCGCAATATGATGATGTCTGGAAAATCGGGCTGGTAAACACCATATCCTGCAAATGGCAACACAGCAACCCTTGAGTCTGCAACCCGGCATGCTACGAGATCGCTATCCCACTGTCGCAGTTCTCTTTAGTTCATCATAATCTGATTTTTACCAGAATGTAAAGTTACTCATAAATTTAAAATCAAAGCAGATCTTGCAAATAAGTAAGTATCATCCAGTTTTTTGGAGCTCCTGTATACCAGAGAGAAGTAGAAAAGGGGTAACAAACTGATATCCGCCGTCTATTCCTTAAATGAGACCGGTATCGGCCGAGAAGGGGTTGCGCTGCCATCAGTGCATGAGGTTCAAAAATCATTGTATCGCGCTGCGAGTGTAGTCCAAGTTTGGTAATTCTTGATCCAAGCTTCAGTTTTATCTTCAGCCAACTTTTAAAAATTGACTTTCCGCAAGGTTGGGTGGATTTCTTGGCTTTTGACCTAAGCATTCTAGGTGTGGTTGCTTTATTTCAAATTTTAACAAGCAGTCAAATTATTTTTAAAACATCCAAACTGTAATCTCTAAAACAATCATTGAGGAATGTCCGTACTGGAAGTCATCATCTGCAATCTTAAAATGGAGTTGAAAATATACTTACCTAATGTTGCAACTCTCCAACTGATTTCTATGAGAATCAATAAGTATTGATGACAACTTCAGTAGAACTGGCACCGATGACTTTATTTTGAAATTTTTCGGATGATTTTTGCTACAGACATCCCTTAATGATTTAATTAGTGACTGAAATCTTCATTTTTCCAAAATAACGCACCTACTGTTTTCAATTTGAAATGTATGGATCGTACGAAAATGCATTGAGTCCTACCGCTAATTTTCATTCCTTGTGTTATGTGCGATGAACCCTCAAACCTCAAGACTAATTTTTGCAACTGTCCATAACAGTGTTCTGAGTTTTTAGTAGGTAGTCCTAAAAATAAAATTCAACCTCTATGAATATCTCTGTCAGAGTTGCGAGCATGTTTTGCAAAGAAAGCAGAATCAATATTTGTTGTTGTTTTTTTTTTTTTTTTTTACTCACTCAGATGTTAAACCAGACATGCATGCAAAATAGATACAGTACCTAATTTGATGTTCCTAACAGAAATTATAATTTAATGTTAGAGTGGTGCTCTTATGTGTTGTACCTATCCTACATGGAAGAGTTGAAGGATTGTGTCTACAACTTTTAGAGGAAAACTATTATCGAATCCGTTCGTCGCGTCATGGGGCGAAAGTTAAACCTTGTTCTTATCGACATGCCAAGAATGATGCTATCTGAATGCATTCATTCACTTAGTGATCTGGGGCCAGTTAGAGATTAGCTCCGTCCTCAACATAGGATGAATGATCTCAGACTAATGCAAAATCGCCGGAAAAATCCGCGCGTTTGCCGCGATATTGAGTTGAAAAAGCTTTATTTTTTATGTTCTAACAAAACTCCGGGAAAAATGGCGTAATTTTTCAATGTTCGCGGAAATTTGCATATAGAAATACTATAAATCAAGACTGTGAAGCGGACACCAAGCTCGCAACTATTCGAACTCCGGAGTAGTTATGTGGTATCACGCGAAAATGAAGGAAAATCTTAGATTTTCGCTTGTCTACTAAATTACTCTTATTTCTGAATGTAGGCAATATGCTCGCATCGTTCAATGTGGAAATCAAGCGTGCAACTATTCGAACTCCAGGGTAGATTTGTGGTATCATGCGAAAATGAAGGGAAATCCTAGCTTTTTGCCTGTCTCAAATTGCTGACGTTCTTGAAAAATATGCTCGTATCCTTATCCATACCGCGATATTAAGGTGGAAAACGTGTAATTCTTTCATGATTTTACGAAACCGCTAGAAATACCGCGTATTTGCCGCAACATTGAGGTGACTACCGCGTAATTTCTCACTTTTTCCGAAATCGCTGGAAAAATTGTTTATATTTTCCTCTACTGAGATTAAAATCGCGTAATTTCTCATCAAACCAGGGATCCGCTAAAAAAATCCTGTATTTCTCGCGATTTTGAGATGAATACCACGTGCGTATTTTCTCACTCTTTCACAAAACCGCAGCACGAATTATGAATGCAGGTTATGAGATCAATTCTACCGTGCTAAGGAAAACGCCGTATGAACCTTCAGACGTTGCCAAATTTTCTTTGATAAAACACGAATTCCCTGGTAAACTTATGAATATTTTTCTTCCAATTTGTTAGAGAGTATTCTTTGTGGGTATTTTGATTTAAAGTCCTCAAAATTTCAAGGAAAAATATTCATAATTTTTCCTCATAAATAAACATATCAAAGGAAATTTGGCAACTCTCGAATGTTCATACGGCGTTCTTCCTTGGCCCGGCAGAATTTGCGGACGGGGCAAGAACAGTGGCGTGGCGTGGCGTGCTTTGCGATATATCGATTTATCTGTCATTTAAACCTACGGAAAAGGATCGATACACAGGGTGTGCGCAACGAACACCTTAACCATCGATTCATTTCCAAAACCAAACATCGTCAACCAAGATACGTGGTTTGAGAGTTACACCATCGATTTTCAACAAATAGGGTCGTTTGATCCATCGAAAACGTTATACACTGGAAAAAAAAAAAAAAAAAAAAAAAAAAAAAAAAAAAAAACATCGTATCTAGAGTCCAGACTCTTGAAAACATTGACAAGAAAAAGGACTCTTGATTCAATCAGATTTAAGCTTTAATCAAAAGGAAATCCGCTCAAATTAAGAGGCTTGGTTCTTGATGCAAGCTTAAATCTGATTGAATCAACAGTATTTTTTCTTGTCCATGTTTTTAAGAGCCTGGACTCTAGATCCAATGTGTTTTTTTTTTTCAGGGTACGCCCTTGAAAATATTAATTTTCGATTGAAAATAACCAATCATTTTACGAGCCCCGCCCTCGCCTATCGGTTAGTGAAAGCTTTTAAGTGGCCTTTAATGACGCCTTTTTATATTGCGCGGTGCAGTGTAGGTACAATTCGGTGAAGTTGATACGTCGGTACTACCTACCGTGGCATTATGAAACATATCTCGGTTATTGTTTTCTAAGATGCAGTTTTGTAGGTTAGTTGGCAAAGGTCAGACGGCTAATTGGTCCAAATCCAGCTTGAGTGGCATTACTTATACCTGTCTAGTGTCTAGTCCGGTGCGGGTCAGATCAAGCCTGGGTTGCCATGTTTTTTTAAGGGAGCCGCCAAGTTTTTGTAAAACACATTGTATCTAGAGTCCAGACTCTTGAAAACGTCGACAAGAAAAAGTACTCTTGATTCAATCAGAATCTAGCTTAAATCAAGAACCAAGCTTCTTCATTTTAGCGGATTTCGTTTTGATTGAAGCAAAAATCCGATTGAATCAAGAGTATTTTTTCTTGTCAATGTTTTTAAGAGTCTGGACTCTAGATCCAATGTGGTTTTTTTTCCAGTGTATGGATTGCATTTACCAAAAAGGGACCAGCGTGATTACGGTGTTTGCAAAATCGCGCGACATCTTTTTTTCTTTTAAAAATACGAAATATGTGTACAGTATTAAAATTGACACAATTATTTTCGATTAAAATTTTTGGAAAATAATTTTTTGGTGGGGTGCAATAACTTTACTGTTCGCTATTTTGGGAGATCTTTTAGATAATTATGAAGAAGCAACAGTTTAACAACACTGTATTCTCGCTGGCTCCTTCTTCCTAATTGCGATCCATGTCATTCATGTTCTCTCTTTTTACACCTCAGTGGCGATTCGTGCAAATCGGCAACGCTGTTTTTCACCATTTAAATGAACGTAAAAGAATCGATTCTTGGCGCGGCAGCCTGCTCCACCTACAATCGATATTCATGATGGATGAAGAAAGACTGTTGATAACGTATAAAAATTGCCACGTCCATATCAGTGGCCCAGAGCCAAAAGATGCCTCACTTTCATTTTAGTATTTTCGAGATATCAGGGGAAAACCATTGATTCCAATGTTAATCGCAATTTTTGAAACTCCGTATCGATAACCGTCGTAAAATAAGGCTACACTGGAAAAAAAGTAGCTTGGATCTAGAGTCCAGACTCTTAAAAACATCGACAAGAAAAAATACTCTTGATTCAATCGGATTTTTGCTTACATCGAGAACCAAGTCTCTTAATTTTAGCGGATTTCTTTTTGATTCAAGCAAAAAGCAGATTGAATCAAGAGTATTTTTTCTTGTCAATGTTTTCAAGAGTCTGGACTCTAAATCCAAGCGACTTTTTTTTCCAGTGTACCAAATTTTCGACACATACGGAACCGTCAATGGAAATTTCCAAAATGGCACCAACTCGATTTTTCAAAAAATGTGAGTTAGGCACCTTTTGGCTTTGGAGTACCGATACGTCTTTTCAGTAATTCCGAACACTATTCTTCTTTCCTGACAGAATCAGCTGGAGATACTCACCTAGAAATGAAAAAATAGCATAGCTTCATTATCGAGTAGAACGACTTAAAATAACGAGGCTAAAATTGAATCAGTTTGTTACCATTCAAACAGTGCAAATTTGCGTAGATGTTTCAAAGTTGACTTAAAGATGTCTTGGGAATCTGGCTCTAGGTACTTTGTTTCGTCCAACTTTAAAACGTCCACTCAATCAATTCAGTATCGATATCATATGTACACTGGAAAAAAACACATTGGATCTAGAGTCCAGACTCTTGAAAACATTGACAAGAAAAAGGACTCTTGATTCAATCAGATTTAAGCTTAAATCAAAAGGATATCCGCTCAAATTAAGAGGCTTGGTTCTTGAGTTAAGCTTAAATCTGATTGAATCAAGAGTATTATTTCTTGTCGATGTTTTTAAGAGTCTGGACTCTAGATCCAATGTGTTTTTTCC